CAACATCATTAGTCATTAAAGAAATACAAATTAAAACCACAATGAGATACCACTCCACAATGACTAAAATGACTGTAATCTAAAAGACAGACAGGCCGGCCCGGTGGCGCACTGCTACAGTGCGCCGCTTGGGAAGCGCGGCAGCGCTCCCGCCGAGGGTTCGGATCCCACATACAGACCGGCCGCTCACTGGCTGAGCAAGGTGCAGGAGCAACACCGAGGGTTGCAATCCCGTTGCCGGTCCCAGTCCGGTACGGGCGCAACACTGAAGGTTGCGATCCGTTGCCGGTCACGAAAAAAGACAAAAAGGAAAAAAATAAAAAAATAAAAAAATAAAAATAAAAGACAGACAATAATGTGGAAAAATTAGAACCATCATACATTGCTGGTCAGAATGTAAGATGTTACAGTCACTTTTTAAAACAGTTTAGCAGTTTATTAAAAAGTTAAATATAAATTTACTATATAACCAAGAAATATCACTCCTCAATAGCTACCCAAGTGAAATGAAAACATATGTTTGAACAAAGACTTACACACAGGTGTTCACAACATTGTATGTAATAGCCAAGAAAGGGAAATAACCCAAATGGCCGTCAACTGCTTAACGGATAAGCAAAATGCAGTATATCTGTGTAATGTAATACTATGCAGCAGTAGGAAAGAATAAAATAATGATACATGCTTTAAAATGAATGAAGCTCCAAAACATCTTTCTAAGTGAAAGAAACCAGACACAAAAGGCCACATATGCATGATTCCATCTGTGCAGAAAAGACAAATTTATGAAGATGGAAAGTAGAATAGTGATGCCTGGGGCTGAAGATGGGAATGGAGATTAACTGTAAATGGACATGAGCACCATAATCAAAGCCTCAATCCTCTCCAGGGGATGATGAGAGGACCCAGATTAGAGTCAGGAATGCAGGTCTACCCTTCTATGCCATCCAACCTGACCTAGAGTAACCTTTAATCTTGTATGTGCCAAACTGTTCCAACATCCTTGAGAAAAAGGATGCCAAATGTGGCAAAATAATTCTAGTAGCTTATTACCAATCAAAATTGCATCAGAAAAAGATCTTTTTTTAAATATCTTATAGCCCCAACTGTAAAGCCGCTTGCCTCACTGTACTTTTCTCTGTCTTGAAGCTTTAATAAAACCAAATTGGTCGACGGTTTTCTGAATTTTTTAAGTTATGATACCAAAAAGCAAAAACAAAGCCCATTACTGGATGTTTCACCTATGTCTTGATAATTATTCATTTTCATAAATTTTGGGATATGTTTATGAAGATTTCTAAAAATAGGATAAAAAGAAAATAATTTTTAAAGGTATAGTATTCCATGCCAAAAAGGAGCAATGAGATAATCCTTTATTGTACTATTTAATAAAAATACAAACCAATGTCTACCTTTCTGGAAAGTGATTTTAGCCACACATATCAAGATCTTTAAAGGAATTTTTATCCTTCAACCTCTCAACCTAGTAATTATCACCCTGAAGTGAGGTTGTAAGTGCAGAAAAAGATTTGTGTACCAAAACGTGTAAGTGTTTATCTACATCACAACATTTATAAGTGTTAAAAAATTGGAAACAACCTTAATGTCCAACAATAGGGAAATAGTGACTGACATAGGGGATACATTTATAAGATGAAATGTGATATGGTCAAGGAAAAAAGACTAACTGGAAAGGAGGACATAAAAATGCTTATCTCTGCAGATGAATTTTTGGTGATTTTTATTGTCTTCATTGTATCTATTTTTCAAGAATGAGCATCTTTTCTACTACCAACAAGATATCATTTATGCTATTCACTTAACCAGTTTTGACTTTCTGCCTTACCACAGTTTGGGCTTTCTTGTAGGAGTGAACACTCAGGCTCCTTTATGGTTGGGTGGGGCCACATGCTTAGGTCTGAGTTGTGGATGGAAGTGACAAGTATCATTTCTGGATCAAAATTTTAATTGCCAGTTTAAGATCCTTCAAAGCTCCTTTCTTCTCTGGCTTGGAATCCAGCAATACTAAAGATGGTAGCTGGGTCTTGAGTGTTTTTGTTGATCCCATCACAGACGTGTAGCATGAGGAAGTAATAAACCTTTGTTACTTCAGGTCTCTGAAATTTAGAGATAATTTGTCACATCAGCATCACATAGCCTTTTCGATTAATAAAGAAATTGATATTCTGAAGTGCTATAGTCAAAAGAAAAAAAGACAATCCACAATACTCCCCCAAATACCTGGCTTTGGCTTAGGGGCCAAGTGGCAGTTAGTAAGAAAATAGTTATCAGCAATTAGAAAGATGGTGGTCTGTTATTATGCAGTAAAAAAATTTGGTAAAACTGTCACATGATAGCTTTAAGGCAGATAATGTACATAATTAGCTTGTAATTTTTTAAAAAGCGTATGGAAAACAAAAAAAATAGTAGCATATGATGTCTGTTATTATTGGGTACATTTGACTAAGTAATATGAGAAAGAAATGAACTTAAAAAAGAATTTGCCAGTTTGAAAGCAGGAATTAAAGGGAATATAGAAAATCCAGAAATAACTGATTTCCAACTTACAGTGTTGAAAGAAACAACATTTTTCAATCTCAAATGATAAAAGGTAAAATGGAGAAGACCTGTGAGTAACAAAGACTGATCTGAACTCGGCTTTATGGTGAGGATCAAGTCAAAGATCAAATCAAGGTTTAAATCTCTGAATAGATTAAGGTCCTGCAGAGCAAAAACTCAATTCAGTTGTGAAATCTAATAAATCCTTTCAACTGGACAGAATGGTTCAAGGAAAAGAAACTAAAAGTGTGACTCACTTATCGAAGGCTGATAGATTCCAAGTACCCACAATGAAGTGAAGATCTAGAAAAGAACTGTGCGTGTAGCTATTAGCACATGTAAGCTGACCTGAATAAAATGGATAAGAAGATTATGGCACTTTTGAGATGTACCACCTAATAACCACCAGTCCAGACTAAAGCAACTGTGGCTGTTCAAAACTTTAAAACCTTTCGTCCCAAACATTGATTGTAGGAAGGTCACCAAGGAAGCTTTTCAGATTCCAGGCAGACTTTATTTCAAATGCCCATTCCGGACATGGTGTTCCAGAGGAATAATGGAAAAAGAAGAATGTTTGGGAGGTGTGAGGACAATGAGCAAGAGAAGAATTTCCAGGGAATGGAATCAGAATGCCACACCCTGGGGGTCTGGAGCACACATCGATTCAACGGATTTCAGAATTGATTTGGCCCAGTGACTGCGATGCCTCTCCCATTCTTTCCTCTTCCAAGTGTGAGAGTTTGTTGCACTTCTCTTGTTTCAGTTCCACCACCGTAGGTTGGGTGTGTGGAGGTCTCTGGATAAGAATAACATTCAGACCTGATATGGAAACTACCACATACCATTCATAGTTCATACACTTTGAGTATAATGCCATGGTCGAATGGAATTTTGAGTTTTCTCCCTTGGGATGAAGTGAGTATGAATACATTTTGTGTGTGAAAAAGAGTGAACTAAATATTGGTGGCCAGTAAGACCGGTTATTATTCTGGCTCGGCCATATCTGGTTCTCCTAACTTTTTACAAGACATAATATTCTAGTCCCCTTATATTTGAATGGGGCAATGTGACTATTTCTAACCAAAGAGATGTGAGAGGAAATGACAAGGATCACAGCATTTAATTGCTGGCACAAGACTCTCCAGACTTCACTTTTCTCTCCCCCTGTGATTCTAGAAGCATGTCCCAAGATGGGGCTTCTTACTGATGAGGATACAGAGCCCTCTGCCAACCTGTGCTAGACCTTCAGCAGGAGTAAGAATTAAACTTTTATTTTGTTAGTACCCTGAGATTTGGTGGGATGTTTGTTACCAAGACATAACATAGCCTGTCCTGACAGATAAATCAACAAACAACAAGAGGTTCCTATAATTCCACAAATTGATCTTTCTTGACTTATCATATTGGCAACATCTTTTCACACACTAAATGGAGATATCTCATCTGAGACACTTATTTTAAGGCCTCCTAACTTAGTATTCAATGATAGTCAGTCAGTACTTTTGGTGAGTTTTCAAAGACAGCTTTCCTCCTGTAAAATCTCTAAAATTCTAGGAATAAGCAAGAGAGCTTGTTTCTGACACCCAGCCAGATTATACTTGGGTAGTGATGAAAGGAACCCAAAGGAAAAGTATCGTTTTCTAAGATAAGTCATATTTATCAAAAAACTTTTATAAAAATTTAGAAGTGAATGGAATTATCAATTTTACTGCCTGAAGAAGCCCCCACTCAAAACACAAGTGACTGTTCCAAACTTTTTCCTAAATATTAGGAAAAAATTCTTCCTGATGGGCAGTCTACCATAGACTATAAACAGTACCCGCTGTACTAATGAAATGTATCAATGGAAATTTAAAAGGTATTTTAAAGTTTTCTTCTTAATATTTTTGAGAATTTCAAATCATCTTAATATTTCCAAAGAATAGTAGAGATGAGAGATTTTTTAATGGTAAATGTAAAGATTTATGATAAATTGTACAGTTTTTAGGTACCATCTCTCTTTCCTAAAAGAAATGTGAGAATAATGAATATTTCTCATAGTAACAGAACTTTAAAATCTAAAAATAAAAGATCAGAAGCAAAAATCAAGCTCTTCCCTTTGTTTTAGATGGCAGGCAGCATTGGATGGGTTTAGGTTTAAAACCTTTTCTAAAAGCATTTCATTTCTGCCAGCATTTAGTATGAATTTAATTCTGCTGCTGGGTTTTCATGAAACACACCTCGTCAGAATAAAAGCTGTCCAAGAGTTCTTTACAAAGAATTTTACCTTCCCTGAACAGAAACATTTAATTTTATCATTAAAATTTCTGCAAATTAAAAAAAAGTGAGATGCCAATAAACTGGGTCTCTCTCAACTAAACTTTAAGCCCCTAAATGGCAGGTTTGTGTTTTTACCGTCAAACATTCCCAACGTCCAGCATGATGAGTGATGAGTCCAGAACTGTGTGTTTACTACTCTTTATTCCAAGATTTTAGTCCCATACACTTATTCTTTCCATTGGAAGTGTACAACAAAGAAATGCTGGTCACTATAAGCTCTATTTGGAGAGGGGATGGCTTGGAAGGAATCAGGGGACACTTGGCACTCTGGGTGACAGAAAGTTCAAGAAAAAGACCACACTCAGCTCTAAGAACATTTGGAGCTGAGGACTGAAATGCTGTGCAAAGCAGGAAAATAATCACTCTTGAAATCCCTTGAATCCTCAGTAAAGTCTACAGAAACCACAAATGATGAATGTAACTGAATTTCTTTTGGAAAATGTTAACAGTCAAGTCTGCATATTGGTAGGCATGGGGCCAAAACTGACATGACCATGACAGAATGAGCCAGCACAGGCAGGGGAACATGTGGGTCACTTAAGGCTGATTTCCACATAAAATCCACCGATCCACGTAATTTATGAAGACAACTGTTTTTAATACAGTGCACTTATTGCATTTGAAAATATGCAGCACAGTTTGAAACAAGGAAGAATTCAAAAACATGGAAATATATTTTGCATCTAAGAGTAAATGAACACTAAACAATTAAAGTTTTCATTTCTTTTAAGAAAAAGAACATTCACTTTTGTCAAACATTTACAGTGATTTGAGCTCAGAAGCTATGACTTTCATATGATTCCATCAGCCTATTCTTCAAAATACACTATGTGAGGTTGACCCAGAGAACACTTGACCACATCTACTTCTCCACCTCCGTTCTTCTCCCGTTGAAAGTGAATGCTAACTAAATCCTCCACAACTTCTTCATCCATCTGAAGGTCTTCTATTCCAGTCAGAAGCACTGTCCTCTTAGATGTTCCTGAAAATACCTAGAATGAAAAAAAAAAAAGATAAATAGAAATATTTCTAAGAGCTTCGGATTCCAACACTTTACACTCATAAGCTCTACTTAATATTTTGAACGTTATCTTAGGAGAGACAAGGAGGCTTAGGAAGATTTTTCAAGTAAGAGTTAGATTTGAGTTTCAGAAAGATAAATAGAAATATTTCTAAGAGCTTCGGATTCCAACACGTTACACTCATAAGCTCTACTTAATATTTTGAACGTTACCTTAGGAGAGACAAGGAGGCTTAGGAAGATTTTTCAAGTAAGAGTTAGATTTGAGTTTCAGAAAGATAACTCTGGTGGCATTATGGAGATTAGAAGAAAGGAGGGCAGCTCTAGGGACAGAAAAACCAGTTAAAAAGTAGAACTGATAAGACTTAGTGACCAAATGGATGTTGGAGGTGAAGCAAAATGAAGGGGGAAGTATGGGTTCTAGCTTTCAGTTGGGGGACTTGATGCCTTTTAATACCTAAGAAGGAATAGGAAAAGGGAGCAGGTCTGGGGTAAAGATAATGAGTTCAGAGAAAATGAGCAGGAATTATTTCTCAGGCTCAATGATAATAGGCACATGAGAGAAATGTAACTATGTCTCCACGTACGAAAATAAAATTGTGTTATTATCTGAGTAATTTTTGTTTAAAAAACTGTATAATAAATTACAGAAGGTATAGCTTGGCATTAAAATTTTTTTCAAAAAGACAAACTCATTCTGCACCAAGCAAAAATGACGTGAAGAGGCTGACCGGTTAGCTCAGTTGGTTAGAGGGTGGTGTTGATAACACCAAGGTCAAGGGTTTGGATCCCTATATCAGCCAGCTGCCATTAAAAAAAAAAAAAAAAAGGAGTGAAGAATATTTTGATATCCCTCACTGATAAGATTCAAAGAGTAACAGACTCACAACTTTTCCTTTATTTTTTTCTGGGGTGGAGTTGGGCAGTGAGTTCCCATGATGAAAGAAAAGAGATGACTTTACCTGAAACTTTTTCAAGTGTGTTTCCATGTATGGAGAAACAGTAACTTTATGGCATCTTCGATTTATATAAAGAGGATATTCTTTCATTTTCAAAATCCTGTCGGCAACTAAAAGTAAATAGAACATTTTTAAATTTTTCTATATCATAACATTTTTTTTACCGAAGTTAAAACTTCCTTCAAACAGAACAATATTACAGTAGTGTGATTAATTTTTAAGAAATTCTACAATCCACTTTGAAGATTTCACAGCACATAATTTTGAAAAATACAAAACCAAACAATAATGAGGTTTAAATAGTTCCTTCCATCTTGAACTATCCACTGCAGTCAATCAATGCTGCAATATCCTCAGACAGACCTACCGTGAGCTAGATAAAATACAATAACCATCTGCAGAAAGTAACTCATTCATCCTAAAGAAACTGGAATGCTTCTCAGTCTGTCAAAAAGTATAAATTAAAACTATAAATAGAATACTATATGCATATTTTTTCAATATATTTACAATTTATAATACATATGTACACACATATTCACACAAAGACACACATATACAGTAAATTACTTAGTTGTCCTGTAACTAATACATGATGTTCAGTAAACAGAAGTAGTAATGTTAATCAGAGGGTGGGAGAATGGGGGAGAGAATTGAATGTCATCTAGAAAAAGCAAAGACAAACAAAAATTCATCAGTTTTCTCCAACACAAAGAGTACTCTGATTTATTTTTTAGCAGCATTTTTTTCTCCTACACTGCAGAGCAGTAGTGAGTCAAGATTGCATAAAGTTTAACAGAAGCAGTCCTTGAGAATATCCAACCACCTTTTTTTAAAGTCCTTTCACTGGTCCATCTCGGATCAGCAGTATCGTACAGTGGTTAAGAGTATGGGCCCTTGCTGGCGAGGAAGTAGAGAAATTGAAAACCTGGTGCACTGAGGGTAGAAATGTGAAATGGTGCAGCCACTGTGGAAAACAGTATGGTGATTCCTCAAGATATTACACATAGAATTACCATACGATCCAGCAATTCCACTTCTAGTTATATACTCAAAAGAAGTAAAATCAGGGACTCGAATAGACACTTGCACACCAATGTCACAGCAACATTCTTCACAGTAGCCAAAATGTGGAAGCAACCCAAATGACCACCAGTGATGAATCGATATACCAAATGTGGTATCTGAGGGTACTTCAAAAAATTAGTGGAAAAAAGGAATCAAAAGATAATGCAAATCTTTCCATGAACTTTTTAAAGACCCTTTGTATATATGATGGAATATTATTCAACCTTGAAAAGGAATGAAATTTTGATACCTAAACATGGATGAAACTTGTAAACACTGTGCTAAGTGAAATAAGACAGATATAAAAAGGACAATTACTGTATAATTCCACTTACATGAGGTACCTAGAATACGCAAATTCATAGAGTCTTAAAGTAGAATGGTGGTTACCAGGGGCTGAAGCAGGAGGCAATGCGGAGTTAGTGTTTAATGGGTACAGAGTTTCTCTTGGGGATGATAAAAAACTTCTAGAGGTGGATAGCGGTAATGGTTGCATGACACTGTGACTGCAATGGTTAAAATGGTAAATTTTATGTTACACATATTTTATCGTAGTAAAAAAATAAATAAATAAAGAGTGAAAGTCCTGAGTCAAATAGACCTGCTTCATTCCTGGATCTGCTGCTTATTAGCTCTGTGGCCTTGGGTAGGTTGCTTGACCTCTTAAGCCTGTTTTCTTTCCTACAAAACGAGCATAATTACAGCATCTACCTCATATTGTTGTGATGAGTCATTAAGACACAGCTTGTGAAATATCTGAAATATCTATCTTCAGATACCCTCATATCCTTCAGAAGTTACCTATTAAAGCCTTCAGAACTATTTTTTCTCCTTCTGGCTGCACATAACCTCTAGGATAGGAGGGTATCTCCAGATGGGATAAGAGCACAGGTTCCCAAGCTTCTATTATGTCTCATTTTAGAGTTTTAAATTGCATTCTAGTTTATAAATAAGGCTTTTGTGGTATAACCTCTAGGATAGGAGGGTATCTCCAGATGGGATAAGAGCACAGGTTCCCAAGCATCTATTATGTCTCATTTTAGAGTTTTAAATTGCATTCTAGTTTATAAATAAGGCTTTTGTGGATTTTTTTTTTAATACAACAGATGGGCCAACTAACATCAAACAGACAAAATATATAAATTTGGAAAAGTTAAATGTGGATCCTTGACTACAGAAATTTCCACCAAGTTGTTGTCCATTTGTATGACAACATATTAAACATATTAAGATCTCTTCTTTTCATGGCTCTCTCTAATTGTAACACACCCTCCAGTATGCTCTAAACATCACCCAAAGGCCCAGGTCAAAAATGCATATTAATATGTTTGTATGTGCCCAGAGAAAGGTCTGCAAAGACATGCAATGAACCATAACTAAATACATAGTAGGAAAAAGAGAAGTTTGAGAAAATGCCTCAGATTTTACTAAATTTATGCTCTTCTGTATTATTTCAATTTTCTTTAAAAAGCATATATTACTTGATTATTTAAAAAATCTAACCAATGTTTTTAAATTGTATAGTTGGATTTCTATTATATGTGTAAACCTAGGAGAAGCCTTAAAAACTTATTAACTAGAGCAAAAGATTTTTACATTGAGAATCACTTGAACACATTACCAAAAGCAACTGTAGAATCTTCTATTTGCAATCATAAGAATGCAAATCTCCCTAAGATGATTTGGTAAAAGTCCATTTCTACCAGAAAAAAGAGCTAGCTATTCTTTCTAGGCACCCCCCTTTCTTCTCTGAAATCAATTCCCTCCACCTGAGAGACCCTTGTTAATAATAATAGGTGAGATAGAAGAGACAGTTTTATATAATTTTTTAAATTGCTCTGTTATACACTCGTTGTGTGATCTTGGGCAAGTTACTTATCCTCCCAAGGCCTGTTTCCTCATCACTTAAAATGAGTACATCACCTACCTCCAGAGTTGCGCTAAGGTTCAGGAAAGATAAATATATAAACATCTAGTGCCATGTCTGGCACGTGATAAGAATGCATCATTGATGTACTTGTTATTTGCAGTACTATTATCATTCTCAGTAGAATTCGTGGAAATCATTTTCTGGACTCTACCATTTTTATAAGGTTAAAAAAAAATCACAATTATCATGGTAATAAATTTCAAATAAAAGAAGGAGAATAGGAATACTTTCAGAAATGGCAGAACATAACTGAAATGGTAGAGTTTGTTAACTTTCTAAACATGTGAGTACCTCCAAATTCCACAAATGTGACGATGGCGCTTCGAGACTGCTTATCATAGTCCACGCATTCCACCTCTCCGCCTCCGTTTCGGGACTTGCAAAAGCTCAGTTCTAGCTTGTCTCTCATCTGATCTTCAGGTAATTCATCAGGAATTTCAGTAACATTGATCTTCACTTTAGACACTTCTACATGAACCTGAAAAATAATTTCACGTTCAGAAATATGGATGGGAAAAGTACCATAATGAACAGAATTCCAAAAAGTTTTAATCACCTGGCATCTGACTCCTAAATTTAATGGAACTGGTTTGGCCATAACCTCCACCTTTACATCCTCTAGCCACACACGATGCTTCCTCATTCTTATGACATTTTGGGCAACTGCAAAATAATTTGAGAAGTATTAATTTCCAACATTTTGAAAAATTTTTATGCTTTTGGTATTAAGAATAAATTACCCTGAATATTCTAATTTTTCTTTAATTTTAAAGGATCTTCCCTTTAAAATTTGGAAGGGATTTCCAAATGACAATGTTCTTGCCACCAAAATAGAGTATATTAACATCAAAATACTATCAGCAAAAATTGCAATGTAGAAATTTCCATCAAGTTCTAAATTCATCTCTTAAGATGAATCTCTTCTCATCTCTTAAGAGATAAGCTCGACAATCCTCCAGAAATTCATATATTATTTCAGTCCAACCACACACACTTCCTTTCCCCTCGTACATTAATGCACAGCCAGAAATTCTTCCATGTTAAGTAAGCTTAGAAAATTTTTGTGGGTCAATGTAATTTTACAATTAATCTTAATTTTACTTTATCATTTTTCATTCCTCTTCAATGTGTTATAAGTACCACAGAAATATATATTCATTTTTGTCTCTGTCTTCCCAAGGATTACATATTAAAGACTAATTAGGCTGGAATATCAAGGAGTGAGTCCTTCTTTTTTTGCCATATTTAATAAGCAAATTTTTTTTAATTTAATTTTTTTGCTGAAAAGCTCTTGAGATCATTCTCTTAAAAGTTGATTGCCCTGCTATACTGACCACAAAGCTTGTCAAGTCTAATTTATCCACACAAATGGGACCAGCTCAGTAATATAATTATGTCAAAAATCATTAGAACTCTAAAGAGCAACTATATGTTGGTTTAAAACACATGTGGATAAGGGTTTATTTTTACTTGTGCAACATGAGTTTAAAACACTTCAATTAATATTTGGAGCTGCCATTCTAATTTATCATGAAGATAAGAGATGTTCACTGTTTCATAAACCTCACATATGTTTATGACAACCAGACAACACACCACAGCTGGAGGGAGACAAGCAGGGCTAGACGGCAGGGCGTTGTCCTGTGGGAATTAGACTCACTGTACCGCAATATGACTCTATAACTTGGATGATGATTTCTTTTAGATTTTGCTAATGACAACAGACAATAATAACAGAAAATATCAATGAGTAATACTCAGATGATCCTCTTTCCTTCCCACTCCTCCCCAAAGCCCCAACATCTGGTGATCTGACACCGCTGAGAGACCACTTGTGTTTCAATTTTGTGACTCTTAACAGTCAAAAGCCAACTCCTGTTTAATCTCCTAACATTGTCCCAGGAGAGTGAGACCTCAGAGCCACGTCAAGGGTGGAAGCAGTGACGTGGCTGTTACTGAAGAGCATCCTGTTCCCAACATTTCCAGGTAACTGCTGTGCAGAACCCCCGCCTCCCAAATCCTCATTTACATTTTTCAGTTATATCCTGACTATCACTGCTAACTCTTGGCCTCCTCTTTCACTCTCCGCTGTAGAGGTGGCTCCAGGGTAAACAAAAGCACACTGGGCATACGTGCCTTGTGTGTGCATAGCGCACATAGTGACCTCCTGAAAAGCCTTTCAACATTTATTTTCAGGCTACAGTGCTGAACCAGGTGTCAGGAGACTTGGGTTATAATTAGAAATTCTCAGAATCTAAGCACTGGAGTGGTTGTGAACACCATCTGGTCCCCCCACCTCAATCACTTAAATACAAGAATGAAGGCCTGGGGTAGTGGCCTGCTCTGAGGAATACCGGTCCAGTAGAAAGTACAACAGGCACTCAGAGTTTGGCTCTCAGCTCTGCCATTTATCAACTGTATTGACCTTGAGCAAGTTACTTATCTTCTTTAAGCTTCTGTTTCCTTATCTGCAAAATTCCTAACATATAGCAATATAACAGCTAACATTAAGTGTTTATTGTGTATCAGACACTGAGCTAAGTATTTTATCAACATTTCTTATTTAATACTCATAACAGCCCCATGAAGTAGGTACTACCACAAAGCCTTTCATAACAATCTGAGGTTTATAAAGAACCCACCTCAAATCATGCTTCTAAGAAAGCTGGCACTCAAAGCCAGATCCTCCTCATTGAGGCACCCCCAGCTCAACAGGGGCCCACCCCATGGCAGACCTAACAAACACCAGTCCCATCCCAAATCTCTAACTCCCAGGCTCTTTCCACTCACTGGTTATGTGTCCTTAAGTAAATCATTTAAATTTCCTCAGAATCCATTTTCTTGGCTATCAAATGTAAATAATAACTATCCTACCCTACTGCATTTATAGAGTCATGTGAGTAGAAAATGAAATAATGCCTGGGAGAACTGCAGAATTCTCTACCTTAAAACTATTATTATTACAAAAAAAAAAAAAAAACTATTATTACAATTGGAATTATTATTATTGTTGTTATTCCTATTACCATTTGGAGGTGGCATGTGGAGTAGAAAGAGACTAGTACGGAACATCACAGCACCTCTATGTGGGTCCCAGAATGCTTTCTGAATGAGTGACCATAATCAGGGCACTTAACGTTTGAGTCAATTTTCTCATCTGTAAAATGGAATAATCATTCCTTCCTCAGAGCTTTGCAATGAGGAAGAGAAGAAATGATACCTGTAAAAATTGTAAAGCCATAGCCAAGTATCTTTAAAGGATCTCTGAAAGTCCAAGTGCTTTCCAAAGGCAACATGGTCATATTTTTGCTATGAGTCATACCTTCTTCTTTTTCAAAGGTGATCAGTGCTTGTCCTTTTTGTAGCTCGTAAGGAACTTTGGAGCTCACTTTGAATGAACAGGAGGTATTTAAAAACTGGCTGTCATTCTCAGGAGTCTGTTTTGATGTGAATTTCATTTTTGTTTTAGGAATATGCTCTTCAATCTAATTTAAACAGAAATGTATAAGGAACTTTGGAGCTCACTTTGAATGAACAGGAGGTATTTAAAAACTGGCTGTCATTCTCAGGAGTCTGTGTTGATGTGAATTTCATTTTTGTTTTAGGAATATGCTCTTCAATCTAATTTAAACAGAAATGTTTGATTAAAATCAAGACAAGAAATAACTTAAGTCCTTCCAATGATAATGTGATTTAGTCTTCCAATGCTTCATTCTCCACTGATTTTAGAAGCTCACAGAATACTGAGCATGGCTTTATTTAATATCTTTAATAATTGCTTCTTCCCATGTAAGTGCTCAGTAATGTAATCAAATGTTGATCCTTTAATACCATTCACAGATGAAATTATAAATATATAATCCTCTCACTTTTTCTAATCAATGTTTAAACTTGTGGATATTGTAAGATGCTCAATTCTAAGGCCTACACATTCATGTAGATAAGTACCTTTTAAACAAGTACACCAATAACAGACTATCTCACAAGGGAATCTAGACAGTATGTTTAATTTTACTGCAAAAAAAGTATGAAATATAGAGTTGGGTATATTATGGTTATTTGGATGGCAAATCCAGATAATTTCATCCAGAAAGAAAAACTCCTGAATTAAATGATTTAAATTTTATAAAATTTAAATTACACCTTCCCCAACACTTGCCTATCAACTTTTTAACCATTACCACAACTCAGGTTTATAAAAACGTGGAGGGACACTATCAACAAGTACTGTAACCTGGAAAATAAAAGTTAGGTAGTTATATTTGGCCATTTAAAATCATTGGGATTAACAGACATATACAACTACACATAAATGCACAAATGAGTTAGGTGTTTGCATTTCTATTTTCCATGGTTACCTTACATGAAATAAAAGATATTATAGCAAAGACATTAGAAATATTTAATGAGCCATTTTATCTAATCTTATATTTATTCTATATCTTTACATATAACTTTAATAGAATTTCTGGTTACAGTTAAAGCTGACTTCAAAACAATCTGCAATGTCTGAGAAAAGGTAGTGTTTCCCAATAATGTGGAAGTATGCAGTATCCCTGAGAAGCTGAGGACTTTCTGGAGGTAGAGCAAGAAAGCCTGATTGTATTCCTGACCACTCTGTGGCAGACAGCAATTCACTTAAGCTCTCTGGATCACAGTTTTTGTCCTCTGTAAAGTGGGTCAGCTGGACTGGCTGGTTTTTAAAGGCACTTTGAGCTGTAAAATGAAATAATTCTGGCTCCAAACTGAGAAGTAACCAGAATCCTAAGTCTTCTGCTGGAAGTTACCTGTCCTATAAACATAGGGAACCCCACTTTCTGATATTCAATATCCTATCTCCCATGTCAGAAATGAAAAGTGACAATGCTTTCATTTTTAAAAAATCTGGGTTAAGAAGAAAAAAGAGGTAAAAGTTATGTCTGATTAAAATACAGGAAAATTTAGAAGAGAATTTAAATGGTGTGGGTTAATATATGTCCAATTTTAACTGTTGAAACATTTACATTACTATAGCACCTTTGATGAGAATAATAAAAGGAATCAGTGAGAAGACCAAGCATTTGATCCAAAACTGATTGATAATGACCATCATTTTTTTGTTTTTGTAAACTTTATTAATTTTTATTTTCATAAATTTTATTGAAGTGTACATAAATAACAGAAAGGTGCATGTATCATAAGTGGACAGTAAGATGAAATTTCACAAAGCTAGCACACGTGCGTAACCAGCACCCAGACATTCAGTAGAACATGATGACACCCCAGAAACCCCCTCAGGTTTACTTCTGGGTCTTACCTGACTCCAAGGGTAACCACTATCCTAACTTCAAACATCTGCTTTTTGCTTTATTTAAATGGAAGTACATGGTATGCCCTCTTCTGTCTTTTTTGGGTCAACACCATGTTTGTGAGATTGACCTGTGTGTTGTTACATATAGTTGTGGTCGTCTGTTCATTCTCATCGCTGTGTGGTATTGAATCGTGTGAACATACCCCAATTTATTAATCCATTCTACTATGGAGGGACATTGTTTTCCATTTGAGGCTATTACAAACAGTGGTGCCATGGATGATTATGTTTTTAACATGAATTTTGTATAATTAAATCACTTTTTCTGAAAAGTGCATGTCCATTAAAATGTAACAGGTAAAATAATTAAAGGAGTACCTGGAAGCTTCTGGTGGCCTCCTGTAACTCAGCTTCAAGCTTTTGGATCTCCTCCTTTAGCTGAATATTTTCCTTTGTAATTTCATCAATTAATCCCTAAAAAATATCAAATGGTATCAAAAAAATTAAACAGCCCCTGAACTCATTTTTCTAAATGAATTAAAGATGATAAATTTCTCTCATCCTGAGTAAGGCAAAGAAAGGCATTAGATAGTCTCAGAATAAATATGACCACGTGAATACATTTGTTGAATATTTTACATAATCACCTGTCGATTCTCCTAATACTGCCAAGTATTACTATCTCCATTATATGAACAAGAAAACCACCTTACATACTGAACCAAAGCCCCAGAAATTTTTACAGCAAGGCAAGGATTGAGACTCGGATTTTCTGAATCTTAGTTCAGTGCTCTATCATCTTCCTTTTGCACTGTGATTGTGGACATGTTACTCCAAGGCATTTTTTTTTTTTTTAAATAAGCTGTGATTCCCATGGTACACAGCTGCCTTGACATGCCAGACGTATGGCCCTGAGTAAGCTGTTTAAGCTACCTGGGCCTCTGTTCCCTCTTGGTGTCTGATCAGATAATTACTAACTAAGCTCTCAACTTCTAGGTGCAAATACAAGAAATGAGAGCTTGAGAAAGCAGCTAATGTTGAAAGCCTTATAAGATAAAGAATAGAAATACAATTCTTCTAGTAAGGTTTGAATAATGTAATACAAGTAAAAATATTTTGAAAAGCCTAAAAGCCTTCCAAATTCAAGGTAATGTTGAACAAATACTTATAAAACTAATAAATATAAATTAGTTTTTAATAGTTTCCAGTAATTTTCCCTTTTACCTCATTTTGTCCATTTTTCACATATTCTTCATCCAGAAAATACTCCTTAAGAATTTGGTTTTTGTTGTCTTTTTCAGCTTCCATGATTCCCTAATTATTATAAAAAATAAATATTTTAAAAATAGTATATATACACAAACTCAAGAAGAAAGAAATAACTTTTACTCTTTTCGCGTCTTTGCTGTATGTTTTTTCCTATCACTTCTTTGCTGTATCTTTTTTCCTATCATCAAAGTCTTTATTATCATGTGGTTTATATCCAAACAAAGTCTGTATTTCAAATAATTTTCACACCTATAAATATATTAAAAGGTACTAAGAAATCCTTTGCTTTTCAACACAATAATATACAGATAATAATGAGTATTAATGTTCCTTTGTAGTTCACATCCCAATCATAATATTATGCTACATTTTAAAAGACTACCATTTTGGTCTTCCAACCTGTTCCAAAGGTTTTGATTTCAATATTTAATTCTCCCTGTTGTACTTCCTCCTATGTAGACAAAGTAAAAAGACATCCAACACAGCCTTTCTCTACATAGGTGTTCTTACCTGTAGTTTTCACAAAGCCTACCCTGGGTTCATAAACTTGGATGGGAAAAAAATTATATGTTTATCTCTAATAATCTCTAACTGAAACTTAGCATTCTCTTCAATTATGTATATAGGCAACAAACTATAGTAGTATTCACAGCACCTGTGACAGTCACCAATCGAAAGCACAGATACAGTAGTCCCCCCTTATGCATGGCGAACATGTTCCAAGACCCACAGCAGGTGCCTGAAATCTCGAACAGCACCAAATCCTATGTATACTATGTTGCTTCTTATGCATACATACCTATGATAAAGTTTAATTCATACATCAGGCACAGTAAGAGATTAACAACAACAATAATAAAATAGACCAATTATAATAATAAGCTGCAATAAAAGTTATGTGAATATGATATCTCTCTTCTCTTCTCTCTCTCTCTCTCTCTCTCTCTCTCTCCCCCCTCTCGACCCCCCTGTCTTTCAAAATAGCTTATGGACTATACTCACCTATTTTCAAACCTCAGGTAAGTGAAACTTCAGATAAGGGGGTACTACTGTATTGTCATAGAATATTATAATCATTGCAGATATTCTGAAATACTGCTTGTATATATAAATATTGCTTGTATGTAACCCACTTCTACAGTAGTTATTAAACTCACTGCTAGGTCTTGCGATATAAAAGGGTATTTCAAAAAGCTCATGGAAAGATTCGTATTCTCTTTTAATTCTATTTTTCCACAAACTTTTTTTTTCACGAACTTTTTGAAGTACACTTGTAATATAGTGATATATATTACCATATCAAGATTTGCTTTTTGAATATTCTGATAACCAAATTTCAATATAATTGGTTTTTTTGCAATTCTATGTATCGATTCATTTTTTTAACTTTTTTTTTTTTTTAAAAAAAAGGCCAACAAGCTTCACCAGTCTGACAGAGGAGTCCATGGCACAAAAAAGATTAAGAACCCCTGCCTGCACATGAATTTACTGAGATACAAAATTCCCAGATGAAAAACGAGACAAGGGATATCATGACTCTCTTTATGTTTTTAGATTCACATTAATAACCAGTCTGCAATATAATTTTCCAAGATTTTAAGTGGCTAAATTCTCAGTATTCTTGTAAGAAAAACAGAACACATCTATTCCTCTTTAAAAACAAAATAGAACACTAACAAAAATTAGTCATGTCTTAGTTTACCCAGTGTGAACACAAGAGTGTCAAAAAAGAGAGTCACATAGCACCCAAATCTTGGTTTCTAATACTATTCTCCAATAGAAGAAACCAGGGTTTCTTGGAGCAATGGCTAATTCTAGGTCTAGGGCAGGAAATATGCAAAATAAGCCTGAGATATCTTGTAGTGCAAGAAAATCTTTAAGTGCTCAAAAAACAAAACACCACCACAATGATGGGGGTATGTGAAAGGGCTACAGGAGCCAACTGAAAGAGCTCCCTGTGGCCAAAGGTACACATAGGGAATTGATCAAGTAAGTAAATATATGGAGGATAACAGGAGCCAAGTTTTTCACTGTCAGGGAAGGTAATTATCAATATGAAAAGGGAGAAAACTAGAATGGATCCTGTTGATTGGAACTGGATATATCAGCATAATATGATGATATCTGATAGATAATTGCTAGATAGATAGATAGGTGATAGATGGATGAGTGGTAGATGGATGTATGGATAGATAAATAGAGAACTACAAGTATAGATATAAATGTGTCGTGTGTGTATTTTGTGTATGTACAAGCTCTGTCTGCTGAGAGAGCCTGGGAGCAGAAACAATAGCAATGAGCACACCTAGCACCCAAACTCTGGTTTCTATTACCATTCTCCACTGACAGGAACCAGGGCTCTTTGGAGAAATGGCTGATCCCAAGACCAGACAGAAAAACTACAAGATGAGACTGGGACATCTTGTGATGCCAAACAGCAAGGAAATGCTTAAAGAATGATGAGGACATGTCAAAAGGACACAGAATCCAGCTTGAGATGGTTTTCACTGACCAAATATGAAAATGAATTAAAGATTTAAATAAACGATAGTAGTAATGATTAAATCCATTGAGTAAAATAAAAACTGAGTCCAAACTAAAATAAATAAATGAATAAATTAAAATTTTTATGAAGAAAGGAAAACTGAGTATCAAAATACTTCCACACAAAATACATATTAATTTCAAAGGGGAAAAGAGTAACTTTACAGTGGAGAAGGTTGGTAAATGCCACCATAATGAGTTAATCAAAGTAAATAATGGGATAAATCAAAATCATTTAACGTGTAATAGGGTGCACTGAGAAGAACACAGCATGATTTTGATGACATTCCTGCCAAAGATACATAATCTAAGCATGAGGAAACATCAGACGAACTAAAATTGAGGTACATGGTACAATGCAACAGGCTTGTTCTCTCTAAAAGTGTCAAGTTCATGAAAGCCAAGGAAAGACCAAGAAAATTCCATACTGAAGGAGACTAAAGAGACATCATAATTAAATGGAATCCATGATTCCAAACTCGATCCTTTTGCTATACAGGATATTATTGGGACAGCTGGTGAAATCTGAATTGGATCTGATTATATGGTAGTAATGTATAACTAGGAATTTCCTGATTTTGATGACTGTACTGTGGTTATGTAAGAGAATACCATTTTTGTGTGGGAAATATATATTCAAGCATTCCAGAGTGATGGGTCATGAGGTTGGAAATTTATTCTTAAATAATTTGGGGGGAAAAAAGTTGTTTCACTGTACTTGCAACTTTTCTGTAAGTTTGAAATAGTTTGAGATGATATTTAGTGTATATATATTTTAAACCCATATATATCAGGGTTCTTCAAAAATTTCATGGAAATATAATTCAAAAAATACAAAAGTTCATGGAAAAATAGGGAGATATATATATATATCCCCATTGAATCAACAACTGCAGAATCTTTTTTTTTTTTTTTTTTTTGACTGGTAAGGGGATCGCAACCCTTGGCTTGGTGTCGCCCGCACCGCACTCAACCAGTGAGCGCACCAGCCATCCCTATATAGGATCCGAACCCGCGGCAGGAGCGCCACTGCGCTCCCAGCGCTGCACTCTCCCGAGTGCACCACAGGGCCGGCCCGCAGAATCTTTCTAATGATATTCATCCAAGGTCTGACACAATCTAACCCCAACTTACTCTTCAATCTTATTTAGACAAGTCCTTGATCCAATTCCCTAACAACACCAAACACTTGAAAGGTCCATTTTCTCTCTCTTGTCCCTCAATGTGTCACATCCTTCTTCCTCTCCCAACCTTAACCTTCACTAATGAAATCCCACTGTTCTTCAAGGTCCATTTCAAATTTTTCCCCAAGTTCTCGAAGCCTTTTCTGATTCCCCAAAGAATGTTACTTTCTCCTCCTTTATCTCTTTCAGGGCACTTTATTTATTTATATTGAAACATAATTGATTATACACATTTGTGGGGCACAGAGTTGACTATCAATATTTGTGTACAATATGTGATGATCAAATCGGGATATTTGGCATATTTGTCATTACAATATGTACTCATTCTTTGAGTCCATTAACCAGTTTCTCCCTAATCCCTCTCTCTCTAATAACCACAGTTCTGTTCTCACCTTCTGAGAGTTCAATGTATTATTGCGTTTGTTGTTTCTTTCTTTGTTTCTCTATTTATTTATTTATTAACTTCCACTTATGAGTGAGGACATGCAGTATTTCTCTTTCCGTGCCTGGCTTATTTCACTTAACATAATTTTCTCCAAATTCACCCATGTTGCTGCAAATGGCAGAATTTCATTCTTTTTTATGGCTGAGTAGTATTTCATTGTGTGTATATGTATGTGTGTGTATCTATATATACCCCACACTTGGCTATTGTAAATAGAGCTGCGATAAACACGCGAGTGCAGGTATCCCTTCAACTTGGTGATTTCCATTCCTTTGGGTATGCAGTATTGGGATTGCTGGATCCTATGGTAGTTCTATCTACAGTTGTTTGAGCAACCTCCATACTGTTTTCCATAACAGCTGCACTAATTTGAATCCCACCAACAGTGTAGAAGGGTTCTTCTTCAGGGCACTTTAATTATTTGTGTACCGTGTCATTTTTCATGCCTAGTCGGTAAAAATCTTGAGCACAGGGACCAGAGCTACTCCTCCTTGTGTCCATTCTGAGCACCTGTCACAACACAAGCTTACACACTGAAAATACTCAATTATAGAACTGGGTGGTATCTTGACTTGAGTGTTTGTTTGTTTTTGTTTTTTTTTCCTTTTTGTCTTTTTTCATGACCGGCAATGGATCGCAACCCTCAGTGTCGCGCCCGCACCAGACCGGGACCAGCAGCAGGATCGCAACCCTCGGGGCTGCACCCGCACCTCGCTCAGCCAGTGAGAAGCCGGTCTGTATGTGGGATCCGAACCCTCGGCGGGAGCGCCACTGGGCTGGCCCTTGAGTGTTTGTTTAGCACATCACATTCCTATAAAGTCCTCTTATTACGTTTCCGGAGACGGAAATTGCAACATTATTTA